ATTTCTCCCCAACCACTAATACATCATCTTTATCCTTCTCTTCTTGGTTTCCATATGCATCACAGCTTTCAATCTCTCTCTTGAGGTCCTAACTATTGCAAAAATGCTGATCCAGTGTGTGAGTAGCACAAGTTTAAGAGTTTGTTGCTCCTTGGCATTGCAAAGAAGAGGTTTGTTTTATCTGGCCCTGGATTAGTCTCCGTTAGATCTCCTCTTCTGTTTTTTAGCTAGGGATTTTTAACATGCTTTAGCTTTTAGTTTTCAATGTTAGCAGCTGGGTAAACAGACTTTCTGCAACACCGTGGATAAAATGGCAAGCTCCAGGGGAAAGTCTTCCATCTTTAGATTAATAAAAAAGACTTGCTCACAGCCATGGTGGGGGAATAGTAACACCTGAGAGCATGTGAGGGGAATTGTGTGTGCTGGCTGTGGAAAGGCAGCTGATGACCAAAACAGGCAGCTGCTGTCCTGAATGAGGCCGACCGTCCTCAGAGAGTAGTGTCAAACTGTACTGAGCAAGAATAACAGAGAAGTGAGGTAAGTGACTGACATCTCCGGTAAGCAATTTCAAAAGAGTCTACAAATTTCACAGGAGAATCACCTGATTCCAAAAAGTTTAAATAAATGCTCAGGGCAGGGAGAGAAGTACTCAAAAATTGCTCACGAAAAAATACTTTGGAAGGAAGATTTTGAAACACAAGAGGAAATCCATGTGTATATTTAGGAGAGCAGACTTTGTAAAAATCCATAAATGCTTCTGTTTTCACTTTTGTATATCAAATTGCGTGTAAGGGGTGAGAGTTTTGTTTTGTTTTGTTTTAAATAAACACAGTGAGTCCATCATTCCTAGAGTTTGTTTTTAAAGTTATGTGCAGTACAAAATCACTCTCACAAATCCTTCTACATTTTTACGTATTTCAAAGATTTTCTAAAATAAAATATAGGTTGGCGAAAGTGTCTATGAGAATTAAAGGAAAGTGCTTATGATGTAACATTTAATAACAGACAACAGGCAAAAATATGACGTACTCACATGGTAATGTAGCTACTGTTACTAAAAAAAAAAACTTTTACTGTAGAAATGATTGACAAACCACATTTTTAAAAACTGTAGCGTGTATATCAACATGTTCAAAAAAGGATTAAAAGACAATAAATGATTAACAGGCATAAGCTATAGCTGCAATACTTTTGTGGAAGCAAATTTTTTTTAAAATGATTATATGAAAAATATGGAAAAGTAACTTCCTTAGGCTCATCAAAACAACTGTTTTGTGGAAGGGTTAAAAAAATAGAAAACAACAAAAGAAACATGTCTTTTGGGAAGTCTGCAAAGGTGAAAGTCCAGGAGGGCAGGGATTTTTGTCTGTTTTTCAATGCATATTCCCAGTGCCCAGAACAGTCCCTGGCACAAAGTAGGTGTTTGATTAATATTTGTTGCACAAATAAGTGACAGTGAATTAATGAATGGAGGAATGAGAAGCATATGCCATTTAAACTCAGGCCCTCTGACCTGTCCAGGTGAGCAATGAGGTCTCCTTGCTGGCTCTGTGGTGCTGGAATACTTTGAACTGTACCAGGTAGAGTATTCTCTTAAAGAATTCTCTTTAGGTTAGATAGAAAATAGAAGTTTCTGATAAGCAAACTCATTTTTTGACCAAAAAAAAAAAATTCTTTATTTCACAAGGTTAAGAAACTACTTTGTCACAAGGGCTGTCATGACTTTCACAACAGGCTCTGCCTGCCACTTCCTCCACCCTCTCTGAACCCAACCACCACTTCTCTTCCTCTTGCTCCCAGCTCCAGGCACACTGTCCTCTGTGCTACTCCTTAAACTCTGCCTGGGATCCTTCTCCCAGATATCTGCCAGCCTCCCTCCCGCATCTTCTCTCATTTCTTGTAGGCCTCTGCTCAAACGTCACTTTATCAGAGAAGCCCTCTCTGACTAGCCTAAATGAAACAGCCAGCCTCACACCCTACTTATGGTGCTCCTCCTTTGCCTTTCTGCATTATTTTTCACCAATTTACTTCATCTGTTTCATTCTGTTCTCTATCCCCAATGCTTGGTATAGTCAGTGCCTACCACATAGTAAGTGCTTGGCAAATACTTACTGAATGAATAAACAAACAAGGACACAGTAACATTTCACGTGCCACTTCACCGAGGCAATGTGATATATGGAAAAGGTGTGACCTTTTGAATTCCATTCTAACTAACTATTCACCATGTACCTGACCTTGAGACTAACCTCCCTAAACTTCAGAATTTTCATCTTTAAAATGGAAAGAAGAATAATACTTATTTGGCACGTACTTGGCATCCATCAAATGTTGGTTCCTCTCCTTCCTTTCTCCCTACCTCTTTTTTGTGGTTGGGAGCTAATGTAACTCTGTTGTTAGCAAACAAAGTGATTCACAAGTTGAGATGTCTACAAAATGAAAGGCACGATGTCCTGACCAGGACCAGAATGTTGAGCAGACCCCTGAGCAATATCATTCCCAACAACGACTAACACTGGTTGTGCTTGCATTGGACAACTGACAAGGCACAAAAAGGAAACCTTCTTCCCTGAAGGTGCTGTCATGTGACTGGGAACTCAGATAGAGATATCAGAGGGTGGTTTCATGGGGATGAAGAACTGGCCTTGAAGCATGACTATGTTTCAGAATAATAGCAAATCTGAGAAGCATTTCAAAGAGGAAACAAAAGAAATTGAACGGGAATATGGCTGGAGCAGGGGCTTCCTACATAAGCGGCTAGGAGAAAAGGTGGACAGAAAAGGTGATGTCACATTGTGAAAGATCCGCGATGTCGGACTGAAGAGACCAGATTTAATCCTGTAATTTACGGAAAGTCACTAAATTTTTTGAATAGTGGAAAACATAGACTCATATAATGAAAATGATAACTTTTAAAACACTTGCAGAGACTTCTGAAAGCCAAGCACTAATAATGAATCCAGTGACATTGGTTCAGAAAAACAAATGACAAGGTTATAAGTGAGAATGAATCAATATTCTAATCTTCCCTGGTTGTCACTGTTTGAACCACCATAGCGGAGAAGAGACTCAGCTGGGGGAGACCTGAAGAACTGCACATCCTAAGAGAGCACCCAAAAATGTCAACACACTAGCAGAAGAGAGCACAAAACCTGGCCTGCAAGCAATCGACCAGGGGCTCTATCTGCAATCTATGTTTTAACAGCAGCACCTATGATGATGTGACCTCCTTCTCAAATTTCCTCTCTTCAAACTACCCTCCCATTCTCTTCCTTGTAGTTTGATTCCTTATTCCTTGTTAGTTCTAAATAAAAATATGCCAACCTGATGTGTTCCAGAATGAAAAATCCCCACTTGCACATATATATATATGAAAGCAGCAAAAAGAAAGTGACAAATTATTTAATTCACCCCAATGAGGGAAAATAGAAATTAATCTGTTACAGATGCTGCTAAAAGTCTTTGTACATTTGAATTCTATAATAGAATTTAGCAGAGAATAAAAGTTTTAGGAATAGGAAACCAATGACTTAACTTTGTGGTTCTTGAAGCTATAAAAGTGCTGGCAACTAAATAACAAGACGACACTTGTGTCTGCCTAGGTTTTATATTTTTCTTGGGATCCACTCTTCTCACAGCATGGACATGATTTATTTAGACTATCAAAGAGCTTTTGATAAGGGTCTCACAAGTGGCTATTATGGAAACTTGGTAACCATGGTGTGAAAGGAAAATGAATTAAATGAATTAAAAATGCTTGAGATGCAAAGAGGCAAAAAGCAGAAATAAATGGTCAATTCTCATGTGGAGAAAGGTTAATCACCGAGGGCTCCGGGGCCTTGCAGTAGAATTGGAGTGATATTTAACTAATGACCAGGAAAGGAGCACCCAACTCTCATTGCCCCACTCTGTGGATATCAGTCCCACACACAGAGCCCCTATTGATGTGAAGAGCACTTGGCACATGGAAAAGATACAGGCAGTGTAGAGAAGAAGTGTTTAAAATCCAGGAAAGAGAAAATAGGTAAATGAATGTTGACTCAGATACTCATGTAGAGATCCCCAAATACAAAGGGAACAGAAATAAAAATAACATTAGCAGAATTTTATTTTTTAAAAACTTCGATATATACTACATAGAAACACATGGGCCTCTTCAAAAGACTGGATATTTGAACAAAAGAATCCAATTTATTGGCATGATAAGAGCAAATTTTCCATATTGCAGAACAGCAAATGTGGGCATTTAGATCCACAAAAACTATTTCTACAGATTGAGAATATATATAGGGGAAGAAAAGTGAAACTAATAGGAAAAAGTAAGAATTATTACTTTTTTCAGACAAATGTGAAAAATTGGTATAGGTGTTACAAAAGCACAACCAGACATGAATAAAATAATTTGGGAATCAAATAATTAATTAACATTAATCTTTTATGACCCACAATTCAATATGGCATTTTCAATGACCCAGAAATATCATCATGATTCACAACAGGGGCTCAGAAAAGCCAACAAACTCTTGACTTCACCTCCCTTTGCCTTAATTTCCTCCTCTGTAAAATGGAAATAATTGGACTTACCTCATGGGATGATTATAAGGGTTAAATGAAATAATGTATGTAGAGCATTTAACATGGTAAAAGTACAAAATAATGTTTCATTATCTATTTAATTATTATTGTTGCTGTTGTTATCATTACTAATCATGATATACTAAACCCAAACAGTTACAAGCCACAAACAACTTAATTGAAGTCATTGTGATTTTCTTATTTGTATCATTGTTATGACTCAGTACTTAATAAAACATAATATGTTTTCAAACGCTTTTGAACAAAAGAAAAAACATAGTTTTGAAATATCTTTCCACTAACAAATTTTGCGAAGTGGAAGAAAATTACAAATTGATCCAAATAAGCCAAGAAAAACCCCACAAAGCACTAAATGCTTATTATATATTAATTCCTAAATGTCCAAGTACTAGATCCGAGCTTACCGTGCAGATAGTATTTTAATGAGCTCTTTTCTATTCTGTACCCGAAGGTGGTTAGTTTTGTACTTGGAGTCATCAATCAACTCAGGCAAATTCAAGATCTAAAAGATAAAAATAATTTTAAAGTGTAATTCACAAGTTTTTCATGTAACTACCTGTGGATGCTAGTGTGCGGGGCCTATCGTTCCCTTTCCAAGAACATTTCTTGCTGGTCTTTATACCTCTCAATAAAGAGATAATAGAGAGAATGACCACACAATTAGGATGGATCATGCTGGTGAATGGGTTTGTCATTTATAAGAGGTTTTTACTACGTTTAAGCACACATGTCTACATATGGGAACATCGAAGACGAGTTCCCAGACCCTCAAAATAAGTCTTGTATATATGAGAATATAGAAGAAGAGTTATCAGATCTCCATAGAAAAATTCTTGTCTAGAGGAAATAGGGAGATACAAAATCAGGTAAAACTGACCTAATCCTGAGAACCAATATCATGGGTGTCTGCACTTACATGAATCGCATAATCAACATATATCTTGTAGGTATATTTACTAATTTGCTGCACATGTAAATAGAATAATATTATCTGTCCCAATAGTCCTATCCAGGATGTTATACAAGTTGCTAAAATAAAGGGAAAGCATATACATTCGCCTAAGTGCTCACCATTAAAACAATGTCAAATTAAAAGATCTTCTTCCTATAGAAGTGTCACTATTTTTTATCAATGTCTCCCTGAAGAAATACCAACTAGAAATGCTTTTATATACTTCCTCTTTTTCTCCTCCTCAATAAAGGGAAAATCTATCTTGCAAATCCCTTTGGACACCTTTCAATTTTAACAAGACCATAATGAAAGTACCAAGTGGATTTGGGATGGAAAAGGAGTTTACAAAGAATGTGTGCAGGCAGTGTTTGGCAGTTGTGTTGGAAAGTCAGACAGAGCATTTATGGGCTGGGGAAGGCCATGTGGCCTACAGAAAGCTTCATTGATTTTATTTATGTGTTTTCTTTCAATATAAACATTTAATGGTTTCATTTGTTTCCCACAGTTTAAATAAAATCAATCCGTTAATCATCTTACAAAGAAGAGAAAAGTGAAGAAGATTCCCCAAAGTAAAGAGACCATCTCAATGGTATAATTTCTCTTTCACATGTTCCACTTATTCATTTCCTTTAGGAATAATAAAGACAGCATTACTCTCTACATATTTTAAAAAACATCACCACTTACAATGCCCTTTCTAGAAAACTCCCTGTCACCACACCTGATCCCAGAATCAGCCTCAAGCATTGTCCAGCAGTCAGAAACCCTCCTTCCCTCAGAGTGAGTAAGTCATTTCAAGAAAAACCAAGTATCTTCACTAAGTCACAGGTTAAATTTATAAATCTGGCCTCACCCAGAAAATGCCATCAGCTACATTAAAATAAACAAAAACAAAAGCAAAAACAAAAAACACTACAGAGCGACTGCACTCAAGGGTAACTTGGATGCTTGTGTGTCTCTGAATTTGACTTACTACCCCTATGTCCTTGTATTTTCTCATTCAAAGTTGGTGTGAAAAGGTCAAAATAATTATCCTTCTACCTTAGCTATGCCAGCTAACATTCAAAATATTTCTAAAGAGACAGCTGCCTGGGATAAAATGAAACAATGTACATGAAGGTGTTTGACATATTAAGCACTAAATAAATTTGAAGTATTCCAACTAGGTAATTTCTCCCCAAAGAAATAATAAAGCATATGCTTGTTCGAAAGAGAAGGGAGGGAGGCTCCATGAAAAATGGAGATATGATAACAGAAACTGCAATATTCCTATCATCTAATGGTCTCCTGAGAGCAAAAACCAAAATCCTTATGATACCTGAAATGCTCTACACAATATGGCCCCAGTACCTCTCTGACATCACCTCCTACCATACTCTCCCCGTTTGCTCATTGCTGCAGCCACGTCAGCTTCTTTATCAACCAGGAACATGTCTATCACACTTTGGCCTCAGAACTTTTGCACCAGCTATTATCTTGCCTAGAACTTCTTCCACCAGACATCCAGTTAGCTAACTCCTCCTCTCCTTCACTGAGAATGTCAACTCCAATGTCAACTTCCTTCACCAAGTCTGCTGAAATGTCAATTACCCTGACTCCCCTATGCCCACCCAGCCCGCCCCACTCCACTCAACCCCTACTCCCCTGATTCCCCATTCCCTTGTCCTTTTCTTTTCCCATAACTCTTATTACCTAACATATTTATCATGTTTATTATTTACTGTATGTCTGTCCTGCTAGAATATAAGCTCCATAAGCTCAGATTATTTTAAATGTTTTGTTAACTGGTATATCCCAAGCACCGATAAAATATTTGTCAAACAACTGACTGAACCATAGATAAACAATGTGAACATTTTGAGATATATGATCTTCCAGACAGTATTCTATTCCATCAAGTCTAAAACCACTTTTTAATGTAGGTGCTTCTTATAAGCTATGGTCTCTTAAAAGAGTTGATTACCAAGAGGGAATTGTGACAGTTGTCTTTGCCTACAGGTCATAGTGTTCATGTACACTGTCATCACTTTATGTGTATTATTGATACAACACATGTTAAGTTCAATTGCCATTTACAATGTCATCTACTATAATATAGTAGATCATACTATAATTTGGTACTGAAAGAAAAGGACTTTGTGTATGTATTAATAGGAAGGCACAGAAACAAAGCATCAGTCATACTATAAGAACTATTGAAATCTCATTTTTTGATATAGGAAAAGTAAACATCCCTTGTGAAATGTGAAGTTTCCCAACTTCTTAACAAATTTAGATCATTCAGTCTTCCCTCTGCCAGTGCAAACGCTAAGTAAGTCCTTGCACAAGAATTTGTTGCAAACGAGTTTTCCAAGACAATGAAAATTGGTCCATTGTTAATATAGCCCCATTCCAGCTTTCTTTTGATTAGTATTTGCATCTTTTATTTGTACATTTTTCCATCCTCTTACTTTAACTTCAAAATATCATCATATTTGAAATGAATTTCATGGATACAGCATAGAGTTGGATCATGTTTTTCCTATCTTTTGTGACAACCTCTGTCTTTTAATTGGTGTGTTTAAACCACTCATGTTTAATGTTATTATTGATATTTTCAGATTATTTAGATTGATCATTTTATTATTTTTTCTGTTTTTTTCTCTGTTTTCCCTTTCCTGACTTCTTTGGAGTTGATTAAAAGTTTTTAGTTCTACCTTTATCTATTTTGATTTGGGCTATATTTTATATAGATGTTTAAAGATTGCTTTGAGAATTGTAATATATGTACTTAACTTTTCACAATGCAGTTTGAATCAATATTCTACCACTTTAAGTGGAATATAAAAAATTTACTACCATATACTCCCTTTGTATAACATAAAAGAGGAGGCCTTTTTATGTTGTTATTTGTCTATATATTACATCTACATACACTGAAAATCCCACGTTTGCTTTCATCCATCAAACATATTTCAAAGAATTCACTAGGAAAAGAATAGTGCATTATATTCCCCAGATATTTACTATTTCTGTTGCTTTTCATTCATTTCTGATGTTTCCACGAATGTAATGGAATGTTTCATTCACTCCTTCTGGGATTACAAGGTCATATATATTGAACTTTTCCCACCGGTTCCTGAGGATCTGTTCTTTTTTTTTTTTTTTTTTTTTTTGAGTGGGAAGAGGATATCTTTTTTTCCTCTTGATTGTTAAGATTGAATAATTTCTATTGATCTATCTTCAAGTTTCTTGACATTTCTGTTATGAGCTATTGAGCTCATCCAGTGAGGTGTTATTTTTTTTCTTGGTTATTATATTTTTCAGATTTTTGATCCAGCAATCCCATTACTGGGCATCTACCCAAAGGAAAAAAAGACATTCTATAAAAAAGACATCTGCACTAGAATGTTTATAGCAGCACAATTCACAATTGCAAAGATGTGGAAACAAGCCAAGTGCCCATCAATACATGAGTGGATTAATAAAATGTGGTATATTCTACTCAGCCACAAAAAACAATGGTGATCTAGCACCTCTTGTATTATCCTAGATAGAGCTGGAGCCCATTCTACTAAGTGAAGTATCACAAGAATGGAAAAACAAGCATCACATGTACTCAACATCAAATTGGTATTAACTGATCAACACTTAAGTGCACATATAGTAACAACATTCACTGGGTGTTGGGCAGATGGGAGGGGGGAAAAGAGATGAGTATATACACACCTAATGGGTGCAGTATGTACTGCCTGGGGGATGGACATGCTTGAAGCTCTGACTCAGGTGGGGCAAAGGCAATATATGTAACCTAAACATTTGTACCCCCATAATATGCTGAACTAAAAAAAAAATTTTAAAAAAAAGGAAGATTTCCATTTGGTTCTTCTTTATATCTTCTATTTCTTTGCTGAATATTTCTACTTGCTCATTTATTTCAACGGTGTCTGTGATGCTTCTTAGAGCATTTTTATAATAGATGTTTTAAAGTCTTTGTGAATTAATTCCAACATCTGTGTAGTCTTGACATTGACATTTATTGATCGTTTTTTCTCATGCAAGTTCTGGTTCTTCATATGCTGAATAATTTTGGATAGTATCCTGGACATTTTGAATAGTATATTATGAGCCACTGGGTCTTGTTTAAACCCGACAAAGAATTTTTTTTGCTATTAATTTTTAGCAGGCAATTGACCTGGTTAGGTCCAGGCTGCAAGCTCCATCCCACTTTCTGTGTGCTTTGATTCTAACATTGGTTTTCAAAGCTTTTGCAGTGCTATTTGGATATGCCCTGTATGTGACCCACTTAATGGTCACACTATAACCTGGGCAATCATCTATTTGTTAATTCAGTTCTCAACACCTTTGGTATGCTGATTAGGATCAGATCTGTGCGTGTGCAGGTCAGGGGTGAGCCCAGGAGTTCGTAAATAACTTCAAGGGTTGCTTTGTGAAGCTCTTCTCTTCTGCAATCTCTTTAGCACTTTCCAGTTCCCTGGGGCTCCCCTTTTAGTTACCCCACTTCCCAGTATACTTTCTGGGCAAAGGCCAAGCAGTGGGGGGACAGAGAAAAAAGCAACAGGAAGTTATTCCTTTCTTAGGGTTCACAGCTCAGCAATGAAGAGAAAATTACTTTTCCTCAGAGTTTGGCCCCTGCTGGTTTGCTATTGCCACTGCAGGATTGCTTGAGGGCCAGGGCATTAAAAGAAGGAAAAAAACTGAGGGTTTCTGCACTCCCTCTGACATTAGAGTTGACTTTGTCATGCTCCTTTGCACCAGGAATAAAGAGCATCTCCTAGAGCTCAGCCTGTTGCCTGGTGCTCATTTCCAGGTACTCAGCTAAAGGAATAACTAGAGAGAAAACTGATAAATTTACTGCTAGTTTAGAGGTACTTCAAATTCTGGTTTTCTGACTATGTATTTTTCAAAGTCCTAAAATAGATGCTTCATTCATTCTCTCCAGGTTTTATCATTGTGCTCACTGGAAGAGAAAGGGAGGAATGTACTTACTCTATCCTCCCCAGAACCAGAATCTCCACACCTAATTTTTATAGAGACCATTTATTAAGTGCATACTATAAGCCAGGACTATACTAATTATTTTACTTCCCTAATGCTTATAAAACTCCACAAGTTAGATATTAGTATAGTTTTATATTATAATCTTCATTTTATACATAAGGAAATAGATGCCTAGAAAAGATTAAGTACCTTGCCAGGGGTCACCTGATTCATAGTAGGCCTTAAGAATTATGCTATAAAATCTTCAGACCACCTGCTCCAAAATCAACTACGGTGCTTATTAAAATTGAAGTTTCCTGTTCCCCACCCCAGATATACTAAATCAAAATCTTTGGGAATGGGGCTAAAGGACATTCCTATGCATACTAAACTTTAGATCCAAGGCATATTGCCTCCAATAAAAGAAGCCTTCAGTCTAAATGACTTTAAAAAGGATGTCAATATTCAATACTTCAAATAAGAATATCCATTAGCATTGGCATCAATCAGCTTAAAATAGCTTACATATGTTCACTTTCCCTATTCTTATGTATCATGTTAAAGATTAAAATAAGATTTGTTATAGGCCAAGGTTCACTTTTTTGGAAGATTTTCTGGACCCTAAGCTTTGAACCTAATATTCTTGCTCCCATTCCAACCCCTGACAATGGAAGCTCCTTAATAGGGCCCATCTCCAAGAAGTATTATTAGTCAATCAGTATATCAAATTCTAATTTGGAGATAGACTAGGCATGAGCAAATCCTACTCATTCATCACAGAATCACAAACAATAATGGCACATTTCTCCCCATCTTTCCCAATGGAACTTACTTGGCAAAAGAACAATTTTGATGGGCTCATTGTCAAAAACTGAGAACCTCACCTTCTATAAGGCCAGTTTGAATAATGAACTCCTCAATAATAAATAAATCTGAATAAAAAATACTTAGAAGAAATTCACTCGCTATATATGACTGGGAGGGGAGGAGAACGGGGGAACAGATAATTTTTTCTTAGGTGAAGTTTTTAGGGCAAATTTACATGTAAGGATATAATTATGAAGATTTGAAAAAGTCAATCAAATTGCAGCATTCTGATGCCTAGTAAACGATGTAAATAACACTAAAATCCTATACACATAAAACTTTTCATCTGAGAATCTCAAAGAGTTGTATAGGCATTGCCTTAACGGCTCACAACAGGGATTATCATTCCTAACTCACATGTGGGCAAATCAAGGTCAAGTATGCCATTCTCTGAGGCCCTCTGATACTCTACTTTTTAAAAAATGTGTAATAACACATTATAACAATAAATCATATTTTAGTACTAAACTTATGGCAAATATTCTTCTTTGAAATAAAAATCTTTCAAAAAATGTTCTTATGGATATTTATGAGGAAGTTCAAAAGTTTCAAATTGATCAGCAGTAATGAATCAAAAATAAAAAGAATTCAGTACAGTTATTTTCAACAGTGAAGAATATGTCAACCAGTAATTTTCTCCCCCCACTCAACTTTCTGGAGAGAGAAAACTCCAAAACATATGGCCCAGGAAGAAAATCTGTACTCGTTTATAGCAATGAACTGACTTTTACATCTCTGCAGTTAGAGTACGCAAATGACTTCACAGGCAACAGCTTCCGTATGGTTCATATTTTTAACATTGACCGTTCATAATAAAGATTCTTTGATCCCAGATCAAATGTTTGAATCAATTTTCTCTACACTTATTCAGAGCCACCATTATAAAAGCACCCCTCTTTCCCACCTCAGATGTTCCAGCCCTTCGTGCAGTCGGAACTATCTCTATTTGTCACCTTCTCCATGGTACTTTCCACCCTTTTGCTGTGGTTTTAGCTCTGCTTGTTAATCTCTCATACAAAAGAGGCACAGTAATAAATGATTTTTGTACATAATAAGATAACTACAATAAATAATTCATAGGCATCTTTCATAAAACTGAAAGTTCATGGTAATATGGTTAGTACAAAATGAATCCTTTCTCCATCAGAAAAAGAAAAAAAATCCTCAATAGGTAAGGCCTTAGGATACATGTAAAAAAATAAAAATAAAACAAATATATTTTTAAAAAACTGGATTCTATTTCTGAGATTAAAAGTGGAAAAAGTGAATAGATACCTAAAGCCTTACATTGAAACAAAAGACCAAAGTGTAGATAAATAGTAAAAACATCAAATCAATAAAAAAGTCTAGGCAATGCTAAAAATCTAGACTACCCCTAACAAAAAATTATTTTAAATGATTCCGAAGCCTTTTTTTAAGGCCTCATTGAAGAACAACACTTTTAATATAGCCTTAATTCCTAAATGCTTAAAACATAAATCTTATGGAAAGGTACTCACTAAGCAAATGCTAAGTTGAAAAAAAAATGTTTTAAATTTTTAGTAGTAAATAAAATAAACTTGGGAGTAGATTAATTATATTCGGGTCTAATTAAACTGGAAGGAAGGAAGGAAGGAAAGAAGCAAGGAAGAGGGGCCGGGCACGGTGGCTCACCCCTGTAATCCTAGCACTGTGGGAGGCCGAGGCGGGCGGATCGTTCTGAGCTCAGGACTTCGAGGCCAGCCTGAGCAAGAGCGAGACCCTGTCTCTACCAAAAAATGGAAAGAAATTAATTGGACAGCTAAAACTATATGTAGAAAAAATTAGCCGGGCATGGTGGCGCGTGCCTGTGGTCCCAGCTACTCGGGAGGCTGAGACAGTAGGATTGCTTGAGCCCAGGGGTTTGAGGTTGCTGTGAGCTAGGCTGATGCCACGGCATTCGTCCCAGGCAAGAGAGTGAGACTCTGTCTCAAAAAAAAAAAAAAGAAAGAAGCAAGGAAGGAAGAAAGGAAAGAAGGAAGGGAGAGAGAAAGAGAAGGAGAGAAGGAGAGAGGGAAGAAGGGAAAGAGAAATCTCAGTGTTAAAAATCCCTTTAAAATTAATTTTTTTTTCTTTCCCTTTTTATTTGGACTGGTTGATAGGTCAAGTTTTAGGATAATTTAAGCTACTATCATTCTTCATTTCAAAATACAGCAGAATATCACAATAAAAAAACACAAAGTGCTAATTCAGACTCTGCTCTAATCATTTATAAATATAAAAATGGTATACTGTTAAGCGCTACCACAGGAAGTCCTAAGTCGATTATGTTCTAGGCAAACTTGAACTTTCCCGGCTTTGCAAAAAGTGAATTGTTGCATATATATCATCTACCCATCCCAAAAATTATAGATTACCTTGCACACAGTAGCGAACTGTTCGTTATTTCCTGCTCCAACTACAAGATAGCTGTCCTTGGTTTTAAAAGCCTAAAATAAATAAATACATAGGTAAATATATGTTTATATGTTGACAAGACTATAAAAATTGGCTTTAATACATTTTGGTTACATTTTATGTCTTCGCCTCACCCAAGCGAGGATTAGAGGCATGCCCTTCCCCTCTGCAATGCTCACCATGTCCTTTAGTTGTGGGTTTACACCCCCATCCTCCTAATCCCTGGAGAATACTACTGCCATGTGAGCACCATAATGTTAACCAGTTAGTGCCAATTTGATGGCGAGTACAAGTGGAGCCCATTCTTCCAATCTTGTGATACCTCACTTCAGATAATGGGCTCAAGTTCAATCCAGGATAAGAGGTTCTAGATCACTGTCATTTCTTACGATTGAGTAATATTACATTGTATACATATACCAAATTTTAATAATCCACTCATGAATTGACGGGCACTTGGGTTGTTTCCACATCTTTGCAATAGTGAATTGTGCTGCCATAAACAGTCGGGTGCAGATGTCTCTATTATAGCGTTTCTTTTGCTCTTTTGGGTAGATGCCTAATAGTGCTATTGCTGGATGGAATGGTATTTCTATTTTTAGCTCTTTGAGGTATCTCCAAATTCTTTTCCACAGAGGTTGCACTAATTTGCAGTCCCACCAGCAGTGTAAGAGTGTTCTTGTCTCTCTATATCCTAGCCAGCATTTGTTGTTTTGGGATTTTTGGATAGAGGCCAATCTCACTGGGGTTAGGTGATATCTCGTTGTGGTTTTGATTTGCATTTCTCTAATGATTAGAGATGTTGAGCATCTTTTTATATGTTTGCTAGCCACTATTCTGTCTTCTTTTGAAAAGTTTCTGTTCATTTCCTTTGCCTATTTGTTGATAGGGTTGTTTGATTTTTTTCTTGTTGATTTTTTTAAGTTCTAGGTAGAGTCTTGTTATCAGCCCTTTATCGGATGTGTAGAAAGCAAATATAAAAACAAAAAAATAAAAATAAATAAAAAAAATTGGCTTTAATATCTAAAACATCTACAAAGAAATCTTGTTCTAAAGCAACGTTATTAATTAATTTAATATAAACTAATTAGTATTTTTCCTATTATATTTGGATAGTTGTTTTCGTTAGGAATTTCAAAGTACTTCCTAGCTCTTTCACTAACTGTTATAACATTGAATAAAAAAGAGTGACTCAGAAAAGTAAATACTAGAGTTTTATTATAACTCATACCATGAAATTCTGTATTTGTTACAGTTTGGATTAATGTTGAATTTTTCAAAGTTTTATGGTTTATTTGTTCTCATTTTTCTTTGTAGGGAAAATAACATTGGAGGGCAAGAGCGCTGTCTTCTACAAAGTGTAAAAAGAATAGATGACAAAAAGGAAGGAGAAAAAGAAAGAAGGGAGAGTGAGTTGAGGGAGCTACATTTCTTCTTTAAATATCTCAGATGTAAACTTTTGGGCATTTTTCACTTTTTAGTAGCAAAAATTGACATATCAGGATCTCTCTGGACCTCATGTGGCTTTATGTACCTGAAAATGTCTCTCCCTTTTTAGAGATAGGTTCATCTGGACAGCAACAGACCTATAACTGATTGACACTTTCACCACCCACAGCCCTATCCCGTCTGGGGAACTTCTCAGCACTCCTTTCTCCACGTATGATCATCACAGTGCAGTTGGAAGAACCACACCTGCGTTCAGAAGGCCTCACTCATTCTTATTTTCCCAAAGCAAATGAACTCTTTGAATTTCCTTTCTTTCCATATAAAAATTACTCTGTATCTTTACTTACTCCTGCCTCTGAGAAGGACAACTTCTATCTTCCCTGACACAGCTCACTCCTATGCTGACGAACTTGGTGTCACCTTCATCCACATCCTCCAGAACTCTGATCAATCATTTTTAATCCCTTCATTTCCACTAAATCTTTCCCTCAGGCCTACATATAGACTCATGCCTCCATGGAAAATATCGTTAACAGCAAGAAAATAAAATTTCAATCAATTCTTATACCCTTCTCAAGCTATCTTGAATTTTTCTTTCTTCCCTCCATTTCTAAATGACATAAAAGTACCACTTGCCTACACTTCCTCACCAATACCACATTTCAGTGTTTTTTGTTATCTGGATTCTTAGCCTATCATTACACTGAAACTATACTTTCTTTGACCCATCTGCATTATTTGATACTTTAACCATCCCCTCCTTCAGGAACCTGTCATCTCTAGGCTCTGTCCAGGTTCATCTCCTATCTCTCTGACCTGCAGGATTTTCTTCTCCTCAGCCTTCAGCATTCCTTAAACATCGGTCTTTGGTCTTTCATTTCATTTGCTTCTTACGGTAACCACTAGCCACATGTGGCCATTAAATTTAAATAAACTAAAATTAAATTAGCCAGTCACAAAACGACCACTTATTGTGATTCCATTTATATGAAATGTCTAAAATAGGCAAATTCGTGGAGACAGAAAAAAGATTAGTGGCTGCCTAAGACCGGGGAAATTGGGGGTTTAAGGGGAGTGACAGCTAATGAGTACCGGGTTTCTTGATAGGGTAATGAAAACGAAGTGTGGTGATGGCTGCACGACTCTGAATGCACTAAAAATCATTGAATTGTACACTTAAAATGGGTGAATTATATGGCATGTGAATTATATCTCAATGAAGCTGTTATTTTTTAAAATTTAATTAATTCAGACCCACAGTCACACTAGCTCCATGTCAAGCATTCAATACCCACATGTGGCTGGTAGCTACTGCGTTCGACAGCACAGATACAGAACATTTCCATCATACAGAATGTTCTGTTGTACGGTGCTGGTAGACTGGAGCTGACAGATTGTATAATGTATTTTTTCTCTTAGTCGTTTTACTAGGCCTAACATGATAACTGAAGAATGTTAGGTAATTAATAAATGCTTGGTAAATATTAATGAATCAATTAAATGATTGCCTTCAGATAACAGAATTATAGCTAAAATGGATCCCAAGTAAAACACTATAACAAGGTTTTATTCTACTTACACTGTTGCTTTATTTGGTAAGGAATGCTATTAAGATATCACATGATATCTTAAATATTTTTAAACATTTATTTGAAGATTTTAAAGATGTTCCCTTGTCCACAAGGACAAAAGCAAAGTCAGTGTCATAGATTATGCATTTGTGTTTCTCAAACTACAGAAAGGAAATCTGCAACAGAGCTGTGAGTGAGCTACAGAGGATTTTGAGCTTAAGTGTCTCAACAAAGCACTGGTAACTGTGAAGTTACACGGGTTGTTTGCCAGCTTTTTTTGTGGGGAAGGGTGAGGTGGGGAGCAGATAAGTAAATGTGATGTTAACAATGTTTGTTGCCAAATATAATGTGAAGAAAGGTTTTCAAAATTTTGGATCAGTGACATGTTCAGTAAGTTCATGTTTGGGAGGGGTATTAATTTCCTTTTAATAAATGAAGAATTGCCTGTTTCTTCCTTTAGTCTGTACCACATCTTGAAATGTATCTTTATCATTATAAAAGTTTAAAAATTTTAAGCCGAGATAACCAGTCCATGATCATAGGAAAGTGAAGACCTAGTAGCAGCTGAAATACCAGAATATAATCAAACTAAAGATCACCAAATAGATTTTTCAAGGATTGAAGTAAGATTGAGTTCTTTTAATAATTATTTTTGTTCCTTGTTATTATTGCTACAGTATTTATTTAATAAATATAATTTAAATAAGACCATTTTAAAAAATAATACATTACCACTATAGAAAACTGGACAAGGACAGAAAACATAAGGAGGAATAAAATTATCCATGACACCATCACCCAGAAAAAAATATCTGTTAATAAGGTAGGATAATTCTTTCTAGTCTCTCTGTATTCATTTTTACATAATTAATATCTTACTGTACATAAATATCTGGTCTGCTTTTTTTTCCATTTAACATCCTATCACAAGCATTTTTGAATATCATTGTTTTTAGTGACCCAAAATATCTATTTCAAAATTTGTTTAAATATTCTAAGTTCATTTAAACTGGAGGGTGTTTTTGGTTTTTTTAAAAACCAAGCCCTATACCATACAGTTTATATCACAAATAAAAAATTATTTAATTTCATAGTGAAACTCTGAAACAAAATGTGTGGTCTAATTAACATCCTTTAAAAGCTATCCTTGCCTCAATAAGACATATAGATATAGTAGCAAAATGAATCCAAGCTCTGCCATTTACTGAACTTGTGTGTTATCAGGCAAGCTACATCATTTCAGAGCCTTAATTTTTATATCAGTACTTCTGTTTAGAATTATTATAATGACTAAATTCATAAAAGTATATTTATGTATTCAGCAAATATTTAATGACATAACTTACTATGTGCCAAAGTCTGGGTACAGTGTCCTTGTAAAGGACAAGCTATGGTCCTTTACATGAGACTGACATTCTAGTAAAGAAACAGACATTAATCAAATATTCACACAAATAATTATAAGCAGTGGCAGATACTATAAAAGTATATGACACAATGAGATCTTACAATAGTTGGATTTAATCTTATTTTGGTTGGGGGCTGTGAAGGTAGAAAAGATTCCCTAGAAAGTGATCTCTGAACTCAGATCTAAGAATTCATAGGCATTAAGTAGGTAAAGGGCTGGGGGAGAAGGAGGCTATTATTGGCAAAGTGGACTATATGTGCAAAGGACCTGTGATAGAAAGAAGCAACAACCATGAGAAAACAAGAGGAAGAGCAGCACAGTTGAGGCTGCAGAGGTAGGCACGGAGCCAGATAAAGTCGAAGGCCATATGAAATGTTATTTATCATAAAATTAATGGGAAGTCACTAAAAGGACTTAAATGATAATGTTTGCATCGGAAGATCTTCCTAGTTGCAATGTGGAGAACCGAACAGAGGATAAGGTTGGAAATAAAAATATTGACGGGTCAAGGGATTAGGTGTCCCAGTGAAACTGAAGAACTTCCTGAGCAAACAGGAGACATATGAACAAAAAGGGATGAAGGTTCAGTGATAGTTCCTCTAGT